TCTCTTGTGCTAAGAAGAGAAGGCATTACCTTTAAGAGCTCTGCAACTGACAAGATGGAAGAATGCCGACAGGATGTCAAAGCTGAAGCTTTTCAATCACCCACCATTAATATGATTCAATTTATGCTTATGTCATAGGTTTAGACACTGCACAGTGCTGTAAGCAAGGAAGGGGCTTAAATAAAATACAGTGAAGAAAGCAGATGGTATGCTATCAAAACCCTTCAAGCCTAAAATAACCTTTCCCAAGTAAGGAGGATAGTTAATTAAAACTAGGATATATTTACTCTAGTCTGAATAGCTCAGTGTAAATAAAAATCAAAATGACACTACTGTAATGTTGGACTAAATGATGAAATTTCATCTATTCTATTTTTCTTTAATAGTTTCTAATCAAACTTTTCATTAAACAGCTTCATAAAATTCCATGGAGAATTTATTTACAGGAACTCATGGTAGATTTAAAAGCCTCACTTTTATTGTTCAATTAAACTTGTTACTCAGTGGACAACATTAAAAGGGGAGTAGAAGGGGGGTGACCTGGGGAGTTGAGCAAGCTTGTCACACTGAGCCAAGTCCATTTTCAGAGAACTCAACACTGGGTCAGAACAAAGTTTTAGCTGAACCCTCAAGCATGTTTCCAGAGCCTGTAAACAGTATAGGAAATGACTGCCCATCATTTGCCCTCTGAATAGCTAGCTGGTAGATTAAAACTGCCTTTCTTTGGATGGCAGCACAACTCCTCACCCACTAGGCCAATAAGAGAAATCAGGTAACCTATAGAATAAGGACACTCTAGTAGCATAATTTATAGGGAGGTGCCCTGTATCCTAAAGATGGCGCCTCTCTGGTGGTTCAAATTCATCAGCATCTCTGGGAAAGACGGGTGATCTCCTCCCATGTAGCTTCCAAAAACCCACTGGGATGTCAGCTATGAATTGGTTCCAACTTGATAGCAATGAGTTTTGAGTTTTTATAATAAGTAAAAAAAAAAAAAAGCTTCTTGCTGTTGCAATGATGTTCTTTCATAGCAACTCCTATGTTTCATGGAACTGTGCTCCAAAGGGTTTTCAAATGGCTCTTTTTAAAAAAAAAAAAAAACAAAAAACTAAAAATCACCAGGCCATCTTTGGTTGCAATGGAACTGCCACTATTTCATTCAGTAGCTGGGCTTCTAGCCTTTCACATCACCTGGGCACTCCCAAGGGTTGTACAATGTGAGGTCATCATGTCCAGGAAAGGAAGCCCCAGTTCCAAAGGCACCGCCTGAGCTTCTTCCAGCCCTGGTCTACCACCTCAGATCCTTTGATAGAGAGAGGATTAGACCATTTATAAAACTAAACCACAGGGGGAAAGCTCATTCAGATTTTTGACTAAGAGCAGAATAAGCCTAAATAGACCAACAGTGACTCTATGGTGAAGAAAGCCAATAGCTAACACATAGAGACAAGAAATGAACTTTAAGGAATCTAGAGATTTCCAACAATTTTCTAATAATATCTTACTTCAATCCTTTAAAACTTGCATCAAACCCTGTCTTTTTCCATGACGTGTTCCCTGACCACCCTCTCCACCCCGATCTCTACTCCCTCCTACTCCTTGCTAAATTCCTACAGCACTTCCTGTCTGGACCACTCACCAAATACTTAATCATTGACTTTCTTGAAACATTAGTTAACCTTTCAGGTGCATTAATCCTGTCTTCCCCAATTAGATTTTAAATCCTCAAATCAAGCAAGGAATATGTTTTCTTTCTCTTTGGAACAACTCCCCTCCTCCTCCCCTGCTTGGTGCTCCCATTTACTAGAAGAAATTAAAAAAAAATCTATTAGTTAATAAAAGAAACATTATTCCATGACAGGAAAGCAGACACTGTCCTTTTGAGAAGGCCTTGGAGGTATTTTATGGCAATTTATGAATTTCATGTGTCAAAGGTGTAGCTGCTAAATGCTATAAATGCTTTGCCATCAGCTCCGCTATTCATCCACCTGGTGATATGGCTAATAAAATTTGATTTTTACAGCCTCGGCATACTGTTACCTCAATTACATTTGACCAATTACTGAAGTCACCAAATGTGTGGCACAGAATATACACTGTGTAGTAAATTAATCTGTGGGCCCCCTGGCATCCGTGGTAATCGGACAGGAGTGCTTCAGTCATCTGGCAGCGTTTAATATTAGGTACATTTGTTTAATGCTAGTCACTAATTAAATTTATGTTCTTCCACCAACTGTTACGTTGGTTGGAGAAACCCAACCCCATGTTTTCACAAACTCTTTAACCCATGATGATCTTAACTATAACCAGTTGGAGGCTTTTAAAGGGTGTTCTCTGGAAATTTCAATGTGGTCCCAAAAGTAGAAGGTAGGGGTGGGAGGTTGGGGTAGGTGTTCAAACCATGTAAAAATAGGCTATGTTATTTATTTGAAGGGAAGTAGCAGGAGAATTTGAAATACTAATGCAAAAGAAAAAATATAGAATATTCTGATTATTAGACTAGCTAGCAGCTCTTTAAAAATATCTTTAGGCCAAAAGAAAGCTTGTACTTGAAGGAGAAGAAAAACAGCATTAAAATTAGCCAAACCAGAAGAGAGTTCAGGAAAACATTCAGAAGTGAGATGCTTGTGTTTGTGGGAACATTTAAAATTAACTTAGTAACTCTTCACAGCCATTGAGATCACTAGGAAATTGGAACTTCTTTCTTTTACCAATTCTTGATGCAACAGCTTTGAAACTCAATGACTAATAACTCTTAAATTAGCCAAAAAGGTTAAAACATTTTTTTTCATTATATTGCATTACATTGTGAAAATCTAATTTTGAAGACTCTTACACAGTCTTTCAGTTTGTGTCAGGAATTTAGAACACCAGCAAAGCAGCAGGCAAGATGGAGGGTTTGGAAGCAGGGATTACAGAAGGAAAACGGTACCAAGACAGACTGCAAAAGGAGAATTTTTGAATGCTCATCTGAAAAAACAATGTTGGGTTGTTTGTTTTTGTTTCAAAAAAATTTGTACTGGATAGCTTCATTTACTTGAATAAGAATGTTACTTGAATATTAAAAACATAACAGTAAATAGTTCTTTGAAAAAGGAAGAAGTAGCTTGCAGAGCAATGTTACACTCATAAAAACTGACAGCATTTAATAAGCCAGAGTTGTAAAAAACAGCTGGAAAAAGTCAGTGAGTGAAAAAAAAAAAGTCACAGCCTTTAGGGTGCAATGAGCTCAGAGTTCTTTTTTCCCTCCTCCTTTCTCTCCTCAGTTCCTTTGTATACATCTTCATCTCCCCATCTCTTCATTCTCACATCTCCAATGCCCACGCACCTACTTAATAATCTCTGAACACCAATAGAGCTGCTGAAGTCATGAAGAACAGAACTTCGAGAGTCTACAACAAACCCCAAAAACCATGCCCAAGTGTTCAATGTGTAAGTAGAGGGAGGGCTCTGAATAATGGACAAACTACAGATTCTTGGGCACACATTAGTCAGTAGAATCAAGAACCCTCAGCTGTCCCTCTACAACTTCTTCACTCAGACCCTGGGTGGGATTCCACATGGTTCAACTCGACAGTGGTGCCCAGAGAAGGGTCGAGGTGAAGGCAGGACGTGTCTATGCTTCTGCAAGAGTAGAGATTTCCAAGAAATACACAGTTTGATCAAACACCTCGAGGAGATTCTGAGGGAGCTCTGATCCATAGGGAGTTGCACTGTTACAAAGGGGGTACCTTTCTAGTTGTTTGAATCCACCAGTGGCTCTGCGAGAGAAAGATGGGAAATCTCCTGTGTAATTTTACAGCCTTGATAATCTCTTTAGAAGGACAGCTATGAGTCTGTTTCCCTGTGATGGCAAAGTTGGTGAGGAGATTCTGACTTCTCTGTTCAGCCCACTAAGAACCAAGGATATTATCCCACCTCTTCAACTTCACTTTCCCATGTATGGGATTGTGAGAAGACAATTCTCTCGACTGGCCTGACAAGGTTTCTCAAACTGGTGACCCCTCCTTTCTTTCCCTTTCCATTCGTACAGCAGTCAGTTCCACAGAGGCATTGATAAAGCCATGTATGCACATCTCCATCTCTGGTAGGTAAGGATATTTTGTGTGTATGCAGGTGTGTGTGCATGAAAATGGGTATGCCCATCTTTAATGTGTAAAGATTATGTGTGTGTGTGTGTGTGTGTGTGTGTATGTTTATGAAAACTTAGGAGCATGAAGATTGACCTATCTCAGCACCCTACATCACTGAAGCAGTTATCGCTCTCATCCTGACTGCTACTGAGATGGAACTGACTCATCGTTGAGCCTACACTGGGTTTCTGAGGCTATAAATTCCACTGGGATGATTGCCCCTCTTTCTCCAGCAGATCACAAAGACGTCAAACCCATTACCATTGAGTTAGAACCAAGTCATAGAGGACTGACTATTTGGTTTCTGAGGTTGGAAATCACATAGGAATAGTCTGTCCATCTTTATCCAACAGATTCAAACAGCCAGAGAGACACAGCCATTGGGCTAGCAGTACCAGCAGTCTGTGCCTGCAAAGCATTGCATTTTGCATTTTTACAGTCCCATATAACGCAGGAAAGGGACGGATCAGTATCTCAACCGCCAAAGCCTTTTAAGAAAGAGCTAACGTAAAGATTCCTGTCCTAAAGTCCAATTTCAAGGTTGACCTAGCAACTTCAGACTCAATACTGAACAACAGATTCTAAATAATAACCTTTTAGCCATGGTAAACAGAGGCTGCCAAGGAGGCAATGATGCCTTATGCAGCAATAACTCAGGGGCTGGGAGGGGTGCGGAGGTAAATTCAGCTTTAATAAGAGAATGCCCACTGCTTCCTACTAGCACTGTTCTTCATAAGAACTGAAAACAGCCACACACACACACACACACATACACACACACACACACACACACACACACACACACACACACTCTCTCTCTCTCTCTACATTTCATGTTGAGGGGGAGTAAATAGATAAGAGACTCACCAAACTCATCGCATATACTCTCATTTTCTATGAGCGTCGGGTGGTCGAAGGTGTCCCGGCAGTAGAGGATCTGTGGATTCTTGCTGACCACTGCGATGCCCCCCAGGGCTAACGCGAACTGGTCCGTGAGAATGGAAGAGGGCTTATCCTGGATACGCTTCAGCATGGAGCGGTAGCGGCAGTACTGAGGGTAGCTGAGGACTATCACGTTCGTTTCTTCCTCATCCTCACCTAGAGAGATAAGAGAACACTTCTGTTACCCTCTTCCCTCCACAGAAGACTTTTGTGGCCCTGGGATCATTTCAATAATCACCTTTGGTTTGGAACGAAAAATGTAATTCTCCACAGGATTCTTCTACTAGTTAGTTAATCTTGCTCACCATCTGGCTAATGCCAGTGTCTTCCACACTCAACCTCACCAATCCATCTTCTTTAAAAAAGTGTCTCTGGCTCCCTGCAGACTGTAACCTCTTTGTGGGGGGAAAAAGAACTGGATGACCTTCCGCTGCCCCCCAAGACTGATTATGCAGTAATGAGGTGACCAGCAAGCAGGGAACCAGAAGACTTGTCAAAGAACCAGATACAAGTGTGAAGCATTCAAATCATCATTGTCTACGTATTTTACACCTAATGGTGTGGTTCTTACTTTCAATTCTAGAAACTCTTCACTGCTTGGGGCCTCTGAAAAATTATCTGGTCCCAGAAGGAGGCCATGGACCTAAACAACATCATAACTGCCTTGATGCCTTAGAGCAAATCAATGGGCATTCACGTTCCTCCTTGACGGTGTGTGGAAAGACCTTATTACTCATCCCTTAGAGTTGAGTTTTGACCAAGAAATATGACAGAAAGGGGTGGCTGCTTTAAGAACCCATGTGTGACTGGCCATACTCGCTTTCCTACTTTGCTCTGGATTTCTGGTATGTCCCAGACCGTGGTGGGGTCTTGAAGTGACAATAATGTGGAGAAGGGCTCCAGGCTGATCTGAAGGAGATGTAAAATATGAGCAGAAAACACCTCTGCTTTCTTCAGCAGTCACCATTTAAGGGTCATTTGTTATTGTAGCATGATCTATCTCAACTTGATTGATATATCCCTCTTTCCTTCCCTCCCCACCCTCTCACCCCCTGTTGTCAAATGTTCCTCAAATCCATCTGCTAACTTGGCACATCTCATGGAAGCACGCTGAGAGGACGCCCCAAGCGTCCTTGTAGGAGAGTGTGCTGTCAGAACCAACAAACAGGAGACCTTTCAGCAACTTCAACACCGTTTCCCTTACAATGATCTTCAAGGTGATTTACATTTCACTTTATTTTGTGCTCATTTTTAAGAGCCAGATTCTGCATCTTAAGCCTGAAAAGTGACAAACACCCTCTCTTTGGTAGCCTGCCACCTGCACAACGTCCAGTTGAATTCAGGCTCCATGGCTCTGCTCACCATCACTCTTTTCAACCCCACCATCAGGACAGTTGCAAGCAATTCCCAGCCATGTCACTTGCTTCTCCAAAGGGAACAGCGCTCAATATTTTGAGGCTTTACCATCCAGCAGGGACTTGCACAAGACAGTTGTTAAGGATACCAACATTATCATGGCCATCTGGTAACCAGTGGGAAACGAATGAGCAAGGACAGAACATAATGACAGAACATAACCAGTACTGATGGAAGGTGTGCAGGAGACTTTTTCCAAGAGGAGGCCAATACCCAGATGTATTTCTAATTATGTCCACTTAGTCCCTCAGTCTGGCAAGCTTCATCGCAAATAGAGATGTATCGTTGTTCGCAAGATGGCATCTTTGAGCAGTTTACATTTCCTAGATCGCTGCCTGGCTTGCGGGTAGCCACTTCATCAGCTGACACAGTCAATTAAGAGGCAATTATGCTTCCATTGGAGGCACATCTCCAAATGAAAGAGTCCTGAAGTAGCGATATACGTCCCAAGACATGTCAATTTAAGATTTTTACTGTATTTCCAGATATCAGATGAATTCTTAGGTTCAGAGCAGTGCATTCTATATAATTAAAATTCAAAATGTTTTAATGCAAAGGTTCACCAAACACTGTCAGAACTGCAGAGTATCTAACTGCCACATGAAGATGCAGTCCCTGCCCTGCCAATTGCATCATTACACTCCATCTGTCCATGGGTGACATGGCAGATGAGGCAGCTAAGAATGACATCCAGCCCTTGGGACTTACTCATTTCATGATGCAGCACCTGCATATCTAAGTACTGTGCAAATACCTGTGGATTCCTAAATTCTACCTTGGTTTTACGACTGGCTTTTTGTAATGGGGGGGAATGTAGACCAGTTTTCCCAAGTGTTCTTCAAATGACATAGAGAAAGTGGTGTTTTTTCAGGTTAAATGAGGTAGAATGAATAGATGCTTCAAAGTTAGCCTCCTGGTAGAAGATTATCATCTGGACTCACCACTCAGATGACTTTCTATTCCTCTGCTCTCCTTATCTTGTTCTCTTGTTTTGCATGAGGACCCCACCTCTAATCTCTTCCTAATGCTCTCTGCCACGTGGAGTCAGCTCCTGGACCATATTCTGTGCTTGAAAATGGCCTTTCTCCACTCTCATCCTGGCTCAAAACACTTCTCTTTCTTTGCTTCATATGGTTCTGGAAATATTAATCATGTTTTCTCTTCCTACTTGAAGACAGCCAGCCAGCAAGCATCTTCTGAACCCAGGTAACAGAAACAAGTCCTAAGATTGGCTATTACTGCTGGAAAACGCTGAAAACTAGAACTGCTAGGGCTGAGCTTGGTTGATTGTTCTAAAGTTTCAGCAGTTTACTTAGATTGGGTTTTGTTCTTCACCACTGTTGAATATATACTTCTAGCCTTCCTTCTCTTCTCAGCACCCAGGATCTAGAAGATAATATGGGGCCAATTTAGCTACTCCTGTTACTTTTCCAGAATTGCCAGGGATGTCTTATTGTTGTATACTGTCGAGTCGGAACCAGCCCATAGCTGAACGTCCAGGGGATTTTTAGAGGCAGCAGATCACACAGGAGGATACTGTTCGTCCATCCTTCTCCTATGCAGCAGCTGGTGGATTCAAACCATTTGCCTTTGGGATCGCACCACAGTTATCACTAGGCCCTCCAGAGTTCCCTGCTATTTTGGGTACTAACTATAAAACATGGAAATTTGCAAAACTCATTCTCATAGCTATCTCTATAGTATCTCACATTAACTTCATTAGAAGCAGTACTGCTTGTTAAAATTTCCCCAATTAGAGGTGGAAAAACTGCAATTCAGATAACCTACAGACGATGAAAACAATAACCTGTTGTAACTCTTAGGTATGCTCAAGTTCAAAAGATCATAGCAAAATATCTCCATTATTTGTTCCCATGCCAAGGAAAGGTGATCCAACAGAGTGTGGAAATTATCGAACAATATCATTGATATCACATGCAAGCAAGATTCTGAAGATTATCCAGAAATGACTGGAATAGCACATTAATAGAGAACTACAAGAAGTGCAGGCTGTGTTTAGAAAGTGTCATGGTACTAGGGATATTATAGCTAATGTTAGATGGATCTTGGCTGAAAGCAGGGAGTATCAAAGGGATGTCTATCTGTGTTTCATTGGTTATGCAAAGATGTTTGACTAGATAGATCACAACAAACTGTGGCTAACTCTGAGAACAATGGGAATCCCAGAACACTTGATTGTGCTTATGTGACACCTACACTTGGACCAAGAGGTAGTCGTCAGAACAGAGCAAGGAAACACTGCATGGTTCAAAATTGGGAAGGGTGTATGCCAGGGATGTATCCTATCTCCATACCTTTTCAATCTATATGCAGAACAGATTATCTGGGAGGCTGGA